TCACCCATTACACAACGTTTCTTTCCAGGGTACCCATTGGATACCCGTGGGTACTCAACCCGATGCAGGACTCTGCTTCAGATATAACAGCTTGAGTCAAGTATAGAGGCTGTAATATGTGTATCATCAGCTTATCATTTAGAAAATTAGAACTGGCAGGTAAGACAAGTCTTCAGGATAACGATAACTTTAGCCTGTATAGCTAGCTGGGAAAGTGACAGGAAGTGTCCTTTTTCTTAGCTTATTGTAATTCAGTCAGCTCAAAGGCCTTTAGTAATGTTAACTTTTTGGCACAGCAACAACTGAAGGGGAAGGGCAGCTGTTGAGGCTTTTCTCGTATGAAAGTTAGCGTGGTTTCATCTAAAGTAGATTGGATAGATGCTAGATGGTTGCTCAAATGTAGACAATGCTGCAAATGTTTTCTTGAATGATTTCTGAATCATTGTGATCTTACTGAAGGTATTTCATTGATGTCCCTAACAAAAAACAAGTATACTTTAAGTTCATTTTATGTAGTATATTCAAGTAAAGTTCAAGTTTATTTCTCAAGTACACTTTATGTAGTAAGTATGCTAATGGTACTGCACTAGTAGTATACTTGTGTACTACTTATATACTTATTGGGACTAAACTGGCCCACTTTTCAGTTTTTAAGTGTAAGAGTAGTAAACTTTGACTTCATGACCAGTTTACATCTACTATAACTATACTGGGAACCACACTAACAAGTAAACATATACATACTGTCAGTTTACTAGTTCTATACTTGTAGCCCAAGTTTTAGTTTAAGACAGTACACATAAAAGTATTGTGGTGGCAATATCTATGAGACAAAACACATAGAGTCAGAGAAACTTGTCTTTCCGAAAGTTTCATTTAGCATCTGCAGATAGACTCGCAACAAACACTCAAGAATGAGCTGAGTGCAAAGAGTGAGCACTACCCACGGGAGATGTCAGATACTTATACTCACTGACAACAGCTGAGGTCAGGGATCTTTAACTATCATCAGTGGGATGGCAAAGCAGTTTGGGCCATCTTATTTAGTCATGTCCTTGGGCATCAAGTAAAGCACTCACAGCTTGTTACACACTGACAAAGAGTAAATGTCATGTAAGGCACTTGTGCTTGTGATATCGTGACCAGGGATAAAATGTAAGATTACCTCACAAGTCTTTCTGCTTTGTGGCACATGGCACAGGGACCAAATCCTTTCCATTATGTAAGTGTTAAATGCTGCAAAGATTTTACATAATTACATAATTTCTATTGGATTGTTGATTACCTTTCCATTATGTTAATGATTTTCATAAATCATCTCCCCTTGAGTATTTCATGCTCACTAAACAATGGCACCTGTGATAGTTGTACGCATTGCCCAATTGTAGACTTAATCAGAGAACCAATCTAGAGGGCTGCATTGGGATTGGGTCCCGCCGGGTCCTGCGGGACTCAACCCAAATCTTGCGGGAGCGGGCGGTTTGAACTTTGCTGCGGGCGGGATCAGGCGGCTAAAAAAACCACTGCAGGATCGGGATGTAGCCTATAGCGACAGGATGGAGTTAACAAATGATGTGGGAAAAGAAGCTCAAACAAGGTCTGAAGGCGCACTGAGCCCTCTACTTCCCAGCGCTCTCAAAGCTGGCGCGTTTCATCTTCAGTATCCCCGCATCCAGTGCGCCTTCAGAGAGGGCCTTCAGTGTCTGTGGGCGCATCTCGGAAGAGAGACGCACGGGATTGGGACCGCAGTTGGTCAGCAACATTCTCTTCCTCTACAGCAATATTATGGCTAAGTGATTCATTTGTTAAATTCATTCGTTTCATTCGTTAACTTTGTTTATTTTATGTTATTTTTTAGTGTTATTTGAGCCACTCACAGCCTACTCTCGTTGCTATTTGTTAATTACATAAAGAGGCGTGATGATGCCGGTGTTATTGAGCATGATGCGTGATTATATAAAGGTAGAAAAATAAATAAAATACAGAGGAGGAGAACAGAATATGAAACAGCCTTTATTTCATTAAAAACTAAATGAAAACAATGAAATAGGAGCGCTATTCCTGACCAGTGCGTCAAAAGACATGCAGGCCAGGGAAACGAAACAAACAACCCCATGAATCTCTTTATTAATAGCTTATAAAATGACTGTTTTCTCCTGCGGGACAGGAGAAGACACAGAATCAATGCATCTCTATTATTGTGCGGGCATAAATTCTCAGAGTTTTGCAGGAGCGGGCGGGAGTGGACCTACACATTGCGGGTGTGGGCGGGAGTGTAACACACACGTTGCAGTTGCGGGCGGTAATGGTCAGAAATTCAGCGGGAGCGGGCAGGAGTGGTATGAAGAAAACAGTCCCGCGCAGGTCTCTAAACCGATCATAGCTTTAGCACGAGGGATAACATAACATACTAATAATGCGACTATCACAATTACAGATAGCAGAGGTTTTAATAATTTTATCAACATACTGTAGCTTTCCACCTGTTCCCAGTCAGCCAGGACCACAAACTCCATCCTTTGGGAGCTTTGGAGTCCTTGCTTCTCACTTGGTGCCATATATCATTTAGGTGAGAAACAGTATGTGTCATATTATCTGAAATGTTGTTGTGGGATGTGGTTGGAGTTCAGGCTGCCCTTGTCTTGACCTTGACCTTGACCTTGCCAAGGCCTCTCATGTAGCAGAAGTATACTTGCAAGTTCTCTTTAAGTGAACTTAACATCATACTTTTAGATCACTATTTATGTTTTCCACTTTTGAGTACAAGACTAAGATACTATGCAGGTATTATATTTTATACTTGAAATATGCATTTAACTGTACTTACATAGACTTAAGATAACTTAGATGTATCCACTGACATCATTGGAATGGATTTTTCATACACAATATGCACCAACACTATGATTTAATGTCAGTTTGTGTCCTCCTTATACCTTTTTAGAGAAATTTCTCCATGTGAGCTCAATATGATCATCAGAGCAAACTACAGTTCAGTCAGAGAAAACTTTATTTCCATTTGCAGTATTGTATTTGGCGGTATAGCTCTGTTCTGGGGCCTCTCAGCCTTTCCTCAGGCGTACACAGAAAGCCTCTTGCATGGGCCTATGTTAAAAGCCTAAGGCCGAGAGAGCACACCTCTCTGCCCTTCCACGTGCGAATGAGGAAAGCAGAGGCAGATAGAGTGAACTCCCCTGCTCTTTCATGCGCCTACATGGTGTTAAAAGCCTAAGGCCGAGAGAGCACACCTCTCTGCCCTTCCACGTGCAAATGAGGAAAGCCTGAGGCAGATAGAGTGAACTCCCCTGCTCTTCCATGCACCTACATGGTGTTAAAAGCCTAAGGCAGAGAGAGCACACCTCTCTGCTCTTCCACTTGCAAATGAGGAAAGCCTAAGGCAGATAGAGCGAACTCCCCTGCTCTTCCATGCGCCTACATGGAAAGCCTAAGGCAGGGAGAGCAGCAGCAAAGACCCCTGGGAACAGAACAGAGCCAGCACCAATGAAAAACAGAAATGACACTGATAAGTCAGACACAGCATGAGGCAGCAGAGGAAGCAGCAACAGTAGGCAGTTTAAATAGGGTGCCCTGAATGAGATTCACCAAGTAATTGCATAGAAAGGAATCATGTGATCTATCAGCTGACTCCCTTCCATCAATCAGCTGCTTCATCAGTTGATTGGGCTGTTTGAGATCAGCTGATGTAGCTGGGATGTGAGCTGAGCTTGACATCCTGTCCTGCAGAACTAATGCTATGCTCAATTTTTCATTACTTTTTCTTCTGTTGCACTGAAATATGAGTTTCCACTCCATCTGTTCAGGTGGTGCAGTTATTTGAGTGTCATTGTTCTCACCTGCCCGATGGAAACAAACTGAGGGAGCAAACGCTCCAGAGCTCCAATAAGCCGCTCCCAACATGCTTAATCATGCCCTGAGATTGAAGAGAGCCACAGCAGAGCACTTATAGAGGGAGCAGAAGTACGGCGTAAGTGCAGGCTTGAGAAATGGACTGCGACGCCTGATAAACATGCTCGTGCCATAAAGCTGTCATTCCCTTGTCACTGCAAAGGCAAACGGAGAAAAGGCTGGGTCTGCTCTCTTTTTACTGAATGACAAGATGACAGGGACACGCTGCGTGTTTCTGACAACACTCAACATATACTCTTGATAAAGTCATCAAAGCCTCTGCTGTTTATCAATACTGCTGTTTGCAGAAGATTAGCAAGACACGCTGTATTTATATGTATGCTGTCTGCATTTATGTGCAACATGGACAGTTATAGACCATCACATTTAAGCACAAACATCATTATAATAGTATAGTAATTATCAGCATGGCTCAAGAACATGCGGAGAAAGCGGAGTCCTGGAACAAGTACTAGTTTTTCAATCAAATTATTTATCTCTCTAGTCACCTTAGAGAGCACAAGGTTTTTCAGTTTATATTCATGTCTTTCAAACCACTAACCTTAAAATCCCAGCAATGAAGCACTTCTAATTTTGACGCAGCAGAAATTGGCCCGACATGACAGACAATAGCGGGAGCTGGAGCACTTGACAGGGACTGAATAGTTTATTCACAAAGAAACAGCACTGTTATTCATAGATGGTGCAGTTGTTTTTGATGTCGAAACACATTTTCTGTCTCGCCATTGTTTATATGGATTTAGCCGAGCATTTCTGAATCAGACAATAGTATTATGGTTTCACATCACTGTGTTCAGCTCCTTTGTGTTGTTACCAAAGCTGGGTCAAAATGTTATTTGAAATCCCCATGGGATTACCAACAAAAGTAGCATTTTCAGTGAGTGCTTACAGGCCACTCGCAAGGCCAATTTAATCCATTTGAAAATGTGAGCTTTCACCATCTGGCTCAATAGGGAGCAATATTTCTTTTAGAATATAGTCAGATTTTAGTGATTCATCCTATTAACTCTCAGGGTCTACAGACTAATGACTGTCTGATTGTGTTATGTTCTGCTCTGTGTTTGTGTCTGCAGTCCCTCCGGTGTTGTCAGTGTTCCAGCCATCCTTCAATGCCACAGCCGACTACCAGGAATCAGTCACCTTTACTTGCATCACCTCCGGATCTCCTGACCCTGTGGTCACATGGCACAGGTACTTCCTTAATACCCAGCATTGCTCTCTGACATACATCTCTGACTGATATTGGACAGGAAAGCCTTGAAAACTGGAGGGCTCTCAGAGATGTAGACTGGCGATATAAACAAGTGGATTCGCAAATATTATACCCATTCCAAAACCATGAGCATTAATCTGCTGCTGTAACAGCCTCCTCTCCTCTAGGAAGGCTTTCCATAAGATTTTGGACCATGGCTGCAGGGATTTGCTCCAATTCAGCCACAAGAGCATTAGTGGGGTTGGGTGCTGATATTGGGTGATAAGCTCTGCCTTGCATTGGCGTTCCAATTCATCGCAGAAGAGTTGGTCAATCCAAATGAGGGAAACCATTGCTTTACTGAGCTGGCTTTGTGCACAGTGGCATCTATGACTGCTGCATTTTAGTAGTTATCAAGTACTCCAAAAAAGTAGTCGATTAATCATGGGAGGTAGATGCTAGATGCTTAGATGTGAATTGTGGTTGCAGTTAATCATAGTGTTGCTTAATGGTGTTCCACAGCTCAGCATGTGAGAGGATGATATAGCCTAGTCTGATAAAATGATTGATGTCCCTAAAGCCATCTTCAGACACTGCAGTAAGCAGTCAAATATCCTTCCCAATGAAATTTACCAACAGACCTGTTATTTTCCTTTTTCTGTGGTCGGTGATCGGATGTTTGGAGAATTCTCAGTTTTTGTCTACCTACTTTGTTCACTCTGTTGGTACTTCTCCTTGCTAACGTTGCTGCTGCTAGTGCTAGCAATAAGCAGGTGTAGCTTTAAATGGTTATCCATAGCACTGTTGTTGTATTTTAGGGTCGTCTTGTATGAATTACAGCTGGCTGTTTTATCTGCTCTGGTAAAGTATTTCTAGACTGATGAATTCTTATTACTATTTTCACTTCTATATTTTATTATATATTAACAATTCTCTGCTCTGTTTTGTCTTGATTCATTAGCTTTTAGAAAACGTGCACCAACATGAACAAAATGAGCACAGAGTAGAGGAGGCTCAAACACTGAGCATCAATAAGCCCTTCAAGTCAAACATTAAACTATGTCTTGCCATCCCCAGCTACATATTTGCTGTAGATGTGAGCTGCTGGACAGCTGAATTTCCCTTCGGGGATTAATAAAGTTCTTTCTATTTCTATTCTATTTCTAGATGCATTACAAGTGCTTTATTACTACACAGTGCTAAAGCCACAGATGAGCAATTAGTCTATAATGATGCACAGTGTTGACTAATGGTTTTGATAGTCGATCAGTCAACCATTCTGTGAAACCCCTACTGTCATGTTGAAACAGGCAATGGCCTTAACACTAATGTCTAAGATATTAGTCAGCAATAATAGTAGCATTGATATAAATCCCAGTGAATGAAGGGCTGAACCTGAGCCATGTAAAACAGCTACAAACTAGAAGACCACATACTTTCAACATTTAGTGTATTAACTAGGGATGGGCATTTCTAGTATTTTCCGTATTCAAGTACTCATACTAAATTATTGTAGAGTACTCAAGTACACGCAAAAAATAAGTAAATTAATACATTTTAAAAAAATCTAACACAAGGATAGGAATGTTTATTGGTCAGCAAAGTTTAACAAGTGCAATATATATTTATTCATTGAACAACCATGATTCAATTAGACTATTAAACCATAAATTCAAACATACCTAAAATCAGCAAACTTTCAGTTACTGCTGTTACATTCGGTGAGATGTAGCACTGAAGGACCATCTCCATAGCTGCTCTCTTCCTGGTCATATCAACCTCTGCCCAGTTAGCACAAGCTAACACAGCTGCAGTGGCTAACATCCAAAACCAGGCAGTTTAATAGTCCCAGCAAACTCATACCGACAATGAAATGGTTCGACTCTGTCTGAAAAGGAAATAAGATTTTACTTTAAGTTAAAGGAGTACTGACATCCAAATTAAGTACTTGTGTATTCATACCCATCCCATGTGTAAACCACTTCATTCAAGCTTACCTAACCTACATTAGGTAATAGAACATATGTGCTTCTACCCATAATCATTACAAATGTATTCATCTTTATTTGCACCCATATATGTGTCAGTATTCCCCTGAGAAAAACAGCCTCCATATACACGGTTCTAAATTTTTGGTTCCAAATCGAGCAGATATTGTTTCACAGTCCTAACAGAGGAATTTATAGTCCGCCCTCACACATTGCCCTAAGCAATCACACAATAGTATCACATGCCATGTAGCGCCAGTGTGAAAATTTGCACCTGAAGAGCATTTGACTCCCCACTATCCACTCTCCAGCTCGACATCCAGTAATTAGCTTGCACCCACTCAGCAGGCAATGGTAACGAGCTATTTGCACCTGAGCATCTATTGATAACACTTTATTGGCATTCCAGTGAAGTTCATAGTTTTTTTTCCTATTATGCACTTGTTTTTTTCTTCCAGTTAATCCATCTTAATGGACCATAGCAGTGTTGCTGTATGTTGTAGCCCATTTAGCACAAATCAATTATACCTTGCATAGCTACTGACTGCTTTCCTAAAGCATACTGTAGTGTTTTCGATTTTTGAATGTGCACTTCCTACCTTCTGGGCAGCTATTACTTTCACTACAGTGTAAAAATCAGCTTGTATTGAAAGATTCTTGAAGTAATCCATCACATTGAAGAGCATGTCTATTGTAGTTTTTTCCCTTTTTTCAAACTTACATTATCATTACATGATAATGCAAGGGAGAAATAATTTTAAAATGACACAACAATGATGTGACATCCCCCATTGTTTTAACTATGATACATCACCAACCTCGGGCAGGTGTCTGTGACTTCTTTTTCATGCTCTCCTGTAATGAATGGAAGTCAATGGCTGCCCTGAAGGAACTGTAGGAAAACACACATGCAAAAGTCTGCTTTGAAAAATGCTTGTAGGTAAAGTTGATTGGCAGTGAGGGGGCTAAAGACCTTTGCACACCAAGTCCATGTTCTTTGTATGTGTTTTTGAATACGTCTGATACAAATTGTTGCACACAGAAACTTTGCATACCAACACATTCTCACTCTGACCTCGTCACATATCAACGTTTGGTCATGTACTTTCCATGTCAAGATGTGATGTGCAAGGTACCCTGGGTGCATTGGTTGTTGACAGTGGGACGCCGTGTCAACTTCAGCCTGTTACATGCATTGTCTGTTTTCAAAATACACCTCTGTTTTTACAGGAAATGCAACATTTGCATATATTTCCTTTCAAAATTAAATGCACTATGTTGGTACAATACTGCAAATTAACATAAAAATACATCTTTTTTTTGTCAGAATTAAATGCATTTTCCCCTCATTCACCCTCTCTCCCATAGCAGCTCTTTGTCTCTGCTCCTATGGCAGCCGGACTGTTTGACATGTTTGACAACGAATGGATGAGGAGAAACTTGTTGTCGAGGTCAAGAAATATCCTGAGCTATATGACCAAATTTCCTGTCTTTATAAAGACAATGGCCAAAAAGATGTTGCCTTGTGAGTCATAGCTTTGGAGACCAGCTCTCCAGGTGAGAAGTCAAGTTTGATTAGGAGTTCTATACATGATTGTAATCTGATGCAAAGGTGAAGGAAGTACATTCAGTACTTTCAGTAAAAGTAGTGATAATTTTGCGTGGTCGTCTCTTGACTAGCTGCGCAACGCATCCAGTGTGTGCTAGGGGCGGCAATAGCACCTAGCACGACAGCGTCGGTGTGTTTTGCTAAAGAGCATGTCCCAGCCTCCTTGAATAGCCTTGCGCAAAACTGCGTAGTATAATAATGACATCACAACTTCACAGAAGTCCTGATGACTCATTTAAAGGCACAATCTTTGAATACAGACTGAATTTCTCTGTGGATTGGGTGTTTTGTTACTTTCACAGCATTTATATAGCACCTATATCTGCTTTATATTAAGAAATCCATGGACAACTGACTTATGACAAGGTGGAACGATTAATGACAGACTTAAGTTTTGGAGTCAGTGTATAAACACTACCGACAGAACGTGAGGCCGAACCTGGCCTAACTTCCGAAGTCATTGAAATCCGGTGCTTAGGCATTAAACTTGCAGCATTAGACACTGACAAAAAAAGCCGTCCTTTAACGTCAGCATGATACGTGGCTGGTTGCCAATATAGTTTAATGGTGCTTGGCAGCGCCAGGGTGAAATGCGGCAGGACAGAAGTAAACGTAACCACCGTTGTTTGTTGTTGAAGGAAAACGCAGTGTATTTATTTTGAAAGAGACTGTATGCAAACTGTACACTGTATTTTGAAAACAGACAATGCATGTAACAGGCAGAACTTCACATGGCATCCCAGAACATCAACAAACAACACACCCAGGGTACCTTGCACGTCGTATCTTGACGTGGAAAGTCCTGGACCAAACATCAATATGTGACAAGGTCGAAGTGAGAATGTGTTGTGAGGACGTATTTATTATTGAACATCATAAAACAGCCTAAAAAGTGGTGTGCAAAGGCTTTAAAACATGAAAATATGTTAACATTGTCCTTAAAATACCAACATTGTTTACTTCATTCTGCAGAGCGATCCACCAGTTTGTTCTTTTCTATAGTCTAACGTCAGCTCCTATAATAAAAGAGGGGTGACAATAGGACAATAGCAGCTGGTCAAAATAACCCTTAAATATAGTTCTGAATTGAACATGATGACACACAGCAATGTTTAAGTGATGTTTCAAACACCCACACGGAGCCTTCGTTTTTAGCAATCTCAAGTTATTATATATTAGGACTTTAACCACCATGTTCTGCTGTCTTTATTGCAGAGAAGAGCTTGATTGCCCTGTAGCTTATTTTTAGATGTTGAAGAATTAAAGTTTGTGACCAGGGGCTGTAAACCAGAGGCAAAGAAAATATAGCTTTTTCTTGACTGGCATTGTGATTCTACTACATTTAAACACAATTACATTCACAACAGGATCTTTGATAAAAGTGACAGACAGATCATTCAAA